CACGCAGGTGACGCACCGGCGGGCGGGTCACCCGAAAACTGGTTGAGAGGAACCAGAAACTTTACAGGCGCTCTGGGCCTCGACATGGGTGGATGCATTCGTACTCCACACGCTTCCCTTTGTGCAGCGCGCACCGCCAAGATGACCCACCAGCGGGTGGGTCACCCGAAAGTAGGTTGACGAAAACAATCGTTTCCTTTGCAATCTGGGCCTCAACATGATTTGGCGCAGAAGTGCGCAACGCGCGCTTCCCCTGTGTAGCGCGCCGCACACATGATTCACCAGCGGGTGGGTCACCCGAAAAGTCGTTTCGAAAAACCAATTGCTCCACTTGCAATCTGGACCTCAACATTCCATGGTGCATTCGTGATCCACACGTTTCCCGTGTATAGCGGGCACCGCATAGCGCGCATCGCACAAATGACCCACCAGCGGGTGGGTCACTCGGCAACCAGTTGGAAACAAAAGAACAATTGTGTCACCCAAGGCATGGGCGTCAACATGACTTTGTGCATTCGTACTCCACGCGCATCACCTGTGGAGCGCGCGCCTCACAAGTGATGCACCAGCTGGTGGGTCACCAAAAGACTGGTTGAGAACAACCGTTTGGTTCACACTGCGATCTGGGCCTCAACATGAGTTGGTCCAATACTGTTCCACGCGCTTCCTCCGTGTAGTGCGCATCGCGCAGGTGACCCACCAGCGGGGGGTCACCCGAAAACTTGATGAGAAAAACCAACGGTTTCTCTTGCGCACTGGGCCTCAAAATAGGTTGGTGCAGTCGTACGGCATAAGCTACATGTGCGTAGCGCGCACCGCACAGGCGACCCACCAACGGGTGACTCACCCGAGAACTAATTGAGAACAGTCCGTTGTTTCACTTACAGTCGGCCGTGGCTCACTGCGCAGGGAAAACATACGCGCGGACGCCGAAGCTACACTCGCGACGCGTGATCCAGCATCGACAAGCGCGCGGGAGCGAAGCGCGCGCGGCGGCGCTGGGTCCATCTGGCACCGAAGACTCCCGAGCACGAGGACCAGACGCCACCGCGCGCGCACACTCGCGCACGCAAATACAGTGTCCCAGCAAGGCGAAAAACCCTTACTCGTCGACCGAAGCTGCACACGCGAGTGCATATGCATGTATGTGTGCATGTATGATGTATGTTTGTATGTGTGTATGCATGTATGAGTGTGTATATGTACACATCCCGATAGGACCACCCTGCGGGTCATGAGGTTTGGGGGGAAGGGGGAGGCGGTTGATTTGCGATGGCTCTGGGTTCTTTGGTGGTTTCTTCAACCATCGGGAAAACTGTCGGGACAACCGTCGGGACAACCATCGGGACACCCATCGGGACAACCATCGGGGCAACCATTGGCACCATCAACGGGACAACAACATCGGGAGAACACCATCGTGACAACCATCGGGATCACCGTTGTGACAACCATCGGGACAACCGTGGGGACAACCATGGGGACAACCATCAGGATAACCATCGGGACAACCAACGGGCAACCAACGGGACAACACCATCAGGAGAACACCATCGGGACAACCATCGGGACAACCATTCGGGACAACCATCGGGGCAACCATGAGGACAACCATCGAGACAACCATTCGGGACAACCATCGGGACAACCATCGGGACAACCATCGGGACAACCATCGGGACAACCATCGGGACACCCATCGGGACAACCATTCGGGACAACCATCGGGAAAACACCATCGGGACAGCACCACTGGGACAACGCCATCGGGAGAACCATCGGGACAACCATCCGGACAATGCCATCGGGAGAACACCATCGGGGCAACCCTCGGGACAACCATCGGGACACCCATTCGGAACCACCATCGGGACCACCATTGGGACAACCATCAGGACTCAAGACAAACTGCGGGACAAACATCGGGGGCCGCGCCCGGCCGACGGGGGGGGCGGGGGGGGGGACGGGCAACCTTTTGGGCTCGATGTGGCCTCTACCACTGCAGGAAGTGGCGCGTTTTCGCCACGCCCGCACGCACGACACGAACCGAAACCGATACCGATTTCCCGGTTGGGAACACATTCGTTTACACCCCCCCAACCTCCGATGCATATACATTTATGCATATGTCTACACATGCTTATATGTGTATGTATCCATATATTTATACATATGTATAGCAGCGTTCATCGTCGAACAAATATTTTCCACGGGGCAAATAAACAACTAAGTATTCGTCGCCGAATTCACGATACTCGGAATCCGGGGGGGGGCTGGGGGAGCAGCATTTTCTCAACAGGAGCTGAACATTCGTCGATCTGAATGCTCTGCTCGTCTCCCCCCCGAAGATGACCAGGGAGTAGCGCGACCCCCCTCCACGCATTTCTTGTCTACAGACAGGAAAAATGCCGAGATGATTTGCCATAGGCGATTATCCAATCCGAGCGTGCCCAGTCTTTCGAAGATAAAGGGCCTCCTTGCGCCTGCTGCCGTTCCTCCGCGTCCGCCCTCTTCCTCGTCCTCGTCCTCCGTGCTCCGTGCTCTTTCTCCGCCCATGTGCGCAGCTGCCCTTTTTCTCCAGGTTGCGCAGGACACATGGTTGGGGATCTTGGGGCTCCATGTCCGCCATGACACCCGTCGCCGGATAGAGACACCATCAGCATCACTGGGAAGGGATGGGTAGGATGCCAAATATGGCGCGAGCGCACCTAGTTTGCCCCCTCCTTCTACTTTTTTTTTTGTTTTTCTCTCTCTCTCTCTCTCTTTCTCCCTCTGTCTCTCTCTCTCTCTCTCTCTCTGCGACGGTACGTTGCAGAGAGTGTGAGGCACGCTCGCTCAACTTCGGTTTGCGTTGGCCAATGCAGCGCCACAGCATGGATGGCTGGCTTCTCGCCACGTAGCTGGCGTTAAAAACTGCATGTGTGCGTTTGTGTGACATCCTCAGTCCCTGCGCAAGCTGGAGCGCTGAAGCGGAGGGAGCACTCCCCCTGGGCTGTATGGGCCTGGTGCGCAACAGCCCCGTAGGGAACCGCCAGATGCACTTGCGCTCCAACTGGGGACGGAATGGAAAGCTGGAACTGCGCAGTGTCCAATCCACATGGCTTCCGATGCGGTGACTGCTCGCGTCCGCCTGGTCCGCCTGGCTGCTCCGTGTTCGCTTCTTCTACGCTCTGTTCTGCGCTCCCACTCCCGACGTCTTCCCCAAATCTCGGCCTCTAGTAAAACAGGGCTGGGATCGGGATAAATCGCTCCAGAGCGTTCCGGAGCGCTCTCAGAGCGTTCCAGAACGCTCTGGAGCGGCCGCGGCGCCCAATACATCCTCCAAACCCGCCGATTCTCAGAGATTTCGAGTTATCCCGATCCGATTTTGTCTCGATCTTCGCGTCGTCTGATCTAGGGCCCGTTTGCCAACATGAGAAACGATCCAGTGTGAGAAAACCGGCCCTGGGGGAGGGGTCGAGAGGTGTGCGCCGACGAGGTCCAGACGGCATCGCATGCAGACGCACCTGCACCAAGTGAAACTTCCCCTTCTTCCCAGCTCCCCTGCTAGCCCCGGGAGGAAAGGCGGACCAGGGAGTAGGGACAGGGGAGGAGGGGGGAGAGGGGGGTGAGGAACCATGATGAAGCTACGATGAGGAAATGAATGACTACCAAGCAATCGGGACCGAACCCACCGCGTCCCCCGACGGTGGTCAGAGTTGGCTGCGTCATGTGTCACGGTGCTTCTGTTGTGTACTGGTTCCGGCCGATGCAATCAAGAGCAGCCCTGTCTGAGTGGCCCCGCGAGGGGGGAAAGCGAGGGGGAAAGGAACCATGATGAAGCTACCATGAGGAAGAGGAGGAGGGACCGACAATCGAGTCCAGTCTGAGTGGCCCCGCGGGGGGGCGGAGGCCCGCGGAGCGCCCCGCGGTCGTCGAACGAGCCTCTGCCACCGCAGCACGGGCGCGACCGGTGCGGGTGTTCGCCGGCAAGCAGCATGCGCCGCTCTCGCCCGGCCCGTGCTCGATTCCATGGGCCCAAGGACACACAAATAAATGCACACAAGCAACAGGATTCCCAATATTTTCCCATGTTTTCAAGGTGTTCGTCCTCCCCCCCACTTCCCATATTTTCCTACATGTTCCTGGGAGTCGACGATCAATTATGTCTGCGTGTTTCTTTCCCTCCTGATCGATGCAGAAGCGGCTGCTCCGACGCGCGCCGCTGGGACATCTCGCCGCTTGCCACAGCCATCGCTAAGGGTCAGCGCCCCTCGAGCGGGGACTCCACTCACGGGTGGTGTGGCCAGCGGCCCAGCGAAGCCAACCCTTCCCGCCGTGGGCAGCGCTGCTCTGCCAGAAGGAGGCCCGAAAGGGGCAACGTTCGGCAGAATTGCAGAGTACCCGCTAGCAAGTACCCGTTACGGTGCCGTTGCTGGGGAGGGTCGCCGCCCGTGCCGACAGCCCTCACGGAGCGGACCTCCCACCGCGGGGAAGGCTCCCGCCGACGACGACGCGCCGAGGTGGCAGCTCGCGCGCGCAGTGGCCGCGGGAGGCGCGGGCCGCTGGCTGAAAACGCGACCGCGCAAGTCTGCCGAGTGCGCGCCGAGAAGCACCGCGCGGTCCCGCTCGGCGGCACGCCGAGGGGGCGGGGCTTCTCCGAAGCCCTCGGGCCTCCCGAGAAGCCCTCTGTGGCTTCTGAGAGGGCTTTCGAAAGCTTTTCCTCGGAGCCTTCTGCGAACACTCGCCTTCCCTCTGCCTTCCCCCTGGGCGTGCCGCCGACCCGCGTGGGGGGCAGGCCAACCCAAAGGAGTGCAGGGAGCAGGCGGCGCGGGAAGCTTGCAGGCAGCGCGGGGCGCCGCAGGACGACCGCCGCTCTCGCGCGCGGCGCGCCGCCGGGGCGAGCCCGCCCCTCCCCGCCTCGGCCAGGGATCGCCGAAGGCAGAGCACGTGCTCGGCCGCACTCGGCTCCTCCGTGTCCTCCGTCCTCGCCCTCCTCCTCCACACGCGGCCCCGAGCGCCTCCCAGTCAGCACGATGTACAGCAGCACCCCAGCGGACCAGATGTCCACCTGGCCGGCGCAGAAGGCACGAGGGATCAGATGCCCAGAGGGCCCAGGAGGCGCAGCGTCACGATGATGAGTTCCACCAGCCCTCTCGACACAGGTGGTCTACAGATATCCTTCCTCTTCCAAACCCCCTATTCCCTTTGGGGAGGGGTACCCTCCCCACTCCTTCTCGAGGTGTTCTGGGGGGGGGGCGGGTCGCGATGCGTCAGGGTGTCAATTTTAGCCCAAGATGGCTCCAAGATGGCCCCCGATGCTCCAAGATGGCCCCCAAGATGGCTCAAGATAGCCGAAGATGGTGAACGATGGCTTCGGACATGACTTCAGGTCCCAAGTGGACCGCGGAACAGCTCCCCAAGTGGTCTCGGACCCCCCTCAGGACTTCCACAAGAAACCGACATCCTTCAAATCATTGATGTGCGCCGTCTCTCCTCTGCACTTCCGATATGTTTCTGGAGCCTCAGAAATGGCCCAAGAGGGCCCCAAGAGGGGCCCAATATGCTTCCAAGACGTCCCTGAGACCGATCAAGAGCGCCCCAATAGCGCCCCACGCGGAGATTCCCATGACCACAAAAGGGGGAGATATTTCAAGACCTCCCTTTTCATCGACGCCCTCCAAGACGGCCACAAGAGCCTCACAAGGGCTCCACAAGAGCCCCAACACCCCCAACAGAGCCGCAAACAAATCCCAACACCCTTCAAATTAGTCCCAAGAGTGCCCTAAGAGAGCCGCGAGGGAGCTCCAAAAGGACCCTAAGAAAGCCCCCAGAAGACCCCCAAACGGTTGCCAGAGTCTTCGCCCTCGTCATCCTCGTCTTCGTCCTCTTCCTCCTCGCTCTCCTCTTCCTCATCGTCCTCATCCTGGGCATCGTTTCTGACTGGGCTGGTGGGAAAACATGAAGCGTCAATAATACAAATGGTGCACTTTCTGTAGAAGGCAAAACTGTGGAACCAGCTGCGAGCAACCAGTGGCAACACACACACGAATATGGGAACATATGTACAGAGATGCGTATGTTTAAACAAGGTGCGAAACTGCAACCAACACGCACGGCTGGCCATGGAGACGACGGTCGGAAAGGCGACCGCAGAAGCAGCTGTGATCCATGCCAGGCCAAAGAGGATCATAATCCGCCGACCCCAGAGGCATGTGAAGGGTCCTTCCCAAACAAACACCGCATCCCACCACGCCCCGGCATCCCCCGACCTCTCGGGAGCACTCTTCTCCAAACCCTCCACACTACCACTCCTCGCCCGGCATCGACCCACGCCCCCCACCACGCCCCGGCATCCCCACACCATACACTTTCTCGCCTGGCACTGGAGCTCCGTTTTTGGGACCACCCACTCGGCAATTCCTGACTCGGAATGGCCTGACCTCCATCCTGCCTGCCGCTTGGCCCACCACCTGGTCACCACGTGGCCCTGGCACTGGCACCTCCACCGCCTCGGAGCTCTGTTTTTGACCCCCCCCCCCCCTCCCCGCACACCAGACAATTTCGTGACCCGGAGCCAACCCTGACTCCCCACCTGGCCACCACCTGGTCAGCACCTGGCCCCAGCAACCCCACCGCTTCGGAGCTCTGTTCTTGGAACCCCCCACCCGACAACTCCTGGCGCAAAACCCACACTGACTCTCCACTTGGCCACCACCTGGTCAACACTTGGCCCCCGCGCCCCCACCGCCACAGAACTGTGTTCGTGGGGCCCGCCACCTGACAATTCCTTGCGCAGAACCCACCCTGACCTTCCAGCTGGCCACCACCTGGTCACCACTTTGCCTCCCTGTCCTTGCGACACCCCACCCGACAACTCCGTGCCCGGAACCCGCCCTGACCTTCCACCTGGCCACCACCTGGAAACCCCCTTCCCCCCGCAACCCCAATGCCCCAGAGCTATGTTCTTGGGGCTCCACACCCGACTAGCAAGTCTTTGCCAGGAGCCCGCCCTGACCTTCCACCAGGCCACCACCTAGCCACCACTTGGTCACCACCTGGCCCCAGCACCTCCACCGCCCCAAGGCTCTCTTGTTGGAGCCCCTCACCCAACAATGCCTGGCCCGGAACCCGCCCTGACCTTCCACCTGGCCACCACCTGGTCATCCCTTTCCCCCCGCAACCCCAATGCACCAGAGCCATGTTCTTAGAGCTCCCCACCCGACAAGAAAATCTTTGCCGGGAACCCGCCCTGACCTTCCACCTGGCCACCACCTGGTCACAACCTTGCCCAAGCAAATGTCCCTGGAGCTCCCAACCCGACAAATTTTTGCCCCAAACCCACCCTGACCCTCCACCTGGCCACCACCTGGCCCCAACACCGCCACAACCCCAGAGCTTTGTACATGGAGCCACCCACCCAACAATGCATGGCCTGGAGCCCACACCCGGCCACCTCCTAGCCACCACCCCACCACCTGGTCACCACCTGGCCCTGGCATCTCCACAGTGCCCTGGGATCTCTGTCCTGGGAGCCCCCACTCGACAATTTCTCGCCCGAAACAGGCCCGCCGTCGACCTGGCCCCGGCATCCCTACCCTGCCCTGGGATCTCGGTTCTGGGACCCCACACTGGACAATTTCTCGCCCGACACCGCCCCGCCGTCGACCAGGCCCTGGTATCCCCGCCCTGCCCTGGAATGTCAACTGGGACCGCCACGCCGTCGACCTTGCCCCGGCATCCCCACCCTGCCCTGGGATCTCTGTTCTGGGGCCCCACACTCGCCCCACTCGACAATTTCTCGCTCGAAACCGCTCCGCCGTCGACCTGACCCTGGCATCCCCACCCTGCCGTGGGATCTCTGTTCTGGGATCCCGCGCCCGACAAGTTCTCGCCCGAAGCCGCCCCGCCGTCGACCTTGCCCAGACATCTCCACCCTGCCTTCGCATCTCTGTCCTGGGACCCCCCACTCGACAATTTCTCGCCCGAAACCACCCAACCATCGACCTGGCCCCGGCATCCCCGCACTGCCCTGGGATCTCTGTCTGGGCCCCACCCGTACCCCACTCGACAATTTCTCGCCCGAAACCGCACCGCCGTCGACCTGCCCCTGGCATCCCTACCTTGCCCTGGGATCTCGGTTCTGGGACCCCACACTCGACAGACATATTCTCGCCCGACACCGCCCCGCCGTCAACCTGGCCCCGACATCTCCACTCTGCCTTCGTATCTCTGTTCTGGGACCCCCCCACTCGACAACTCTCGCCCGAAACCGCCCCGCCGTCGACCTTGCCCCGGCATCCCCGCCCTGCCCTGGGATCTCTGTCTGGGGGCACCCCGCCACCCCACTCGAAAGTTTCTCGCTCGAAACCGCCCCGCCGTCGACCTGGCCCTGGCATCCCCGCCCCGCCCTGGGATCTCGGTTCTGGGACCCCGCACCCGACAATTTCTCGCCCGAAACCGCCCCGCCGTCGACCTGGCCCCGGCATCCCCACCCTGCCCTGGGATCTCCGTCCGTGCCCCCCGCCACCCCACTCGACAGTTTCTCGCTCGAAACCGCCCCGCCGTCGACCTGGCCCTGGCATCCCCGCCCCGCCCTGGGATCTCTGTTCTGGGACCCCGCACCCGACAATTTCTCGCTCGAAACCGCCCCGCCGTCGACCTGGCCCCGGCATCCCCACCCTGCCCTGGGATCTCTGGTATGGGACCCTGCACCCGACAATTTCTCGCCCGAAATCGCCCCGCCGTAGACCTTGCCCCGGCATCCCCGCCCTGCGATCTCTGTTCTGGGACCCCGCACTCAACAATTGCTCGTTCGAAACCGCCCCGCCGTCGACCTGCCCCGCCGTCGACATGGCGTAACGAACTGCTGTCTTCTCTATGGCAAAATCCTTTCTTCCCCTTCCCGGGGAAGGGGCTCATCAGTCTCCCATACCCCCTGCCCTGGGCCTGGGAAGGGGGTGGGGCTCGAGGCGTTGGAACGTTCACGATGGCCCAAGATGGCCCCAAGAAGGCCTCCGAGAGCGCAAGATGGCGTCCAACATGCCCCACGATATTCGAAGGATGGGTCAAGGTAGCATCCGATATGCATCTCAGAGAGAGAGAGAGAGAGAGAAAGAGAGAGAGAGAGACCTCAAGACGGTCACAAGGCGGTCCAGAGTGTCCTTCGAATCCTCCAAGGACCTCCCCAAAAGGCCAACGTTCCTCCAACACCAATGGGAAATCAGAAACCTTGGTTTCCGATGGGTCTCAGAAACCTTAAGATGGTCCCGAGACGGCCAAAGACGAGCCCCAAGAGGGCTCGTCTTGGGGGTGTTGGGGCCCCGTCGCATATCACTGGTCTTGATCTCCGAGACTGACAGGGCCCACCTAGCCTTTGTCGTCCTGGTCTTTCTCCCGAAAAAATCGGATCCGCTGGATCGGCCCGCGTCGTCCAGCGGATCCGATTGCGGCCCAGGAGCTCCCGGAAGGAACGGCGCCTCGCGACACGTCAAAGAAGTAGGACGGGCTCTGGTTCTGGTCCGCCTCAGCCTCCGAGCGATCGGTATTACTCCTGGGCGGTGTCCTGCAATCCTCCCTCCAGTTGACTTTTGTCCCCACAGTTCGAGCACGTCGGCCTTTGCTTGTCTTGAACTCCTCTCGCAGCAGACGGCGAGCTTTTCCAGCATTACCTCTGCCACCTGCCTGGGCCCTCGTCGCCAGGCGAAAGAAATCGCGATCCTACCGCCTGTTGTGCTTCATGTGGCGTGACTCCTCGGCAAAAACGTCAAACACATTTTCTTTCTCGAAGTCCTAAAGGTCCAGGCATACCAGAATGGCGGTGAACCCGTCCTCGTTGTACTCGGTCCCATATCTGTCCGTGCACGGACCTCCGTCGTCATTCTCGTCAAGGGCCTCCTGGCCCTCCGCGTAGTCTACGAAACCCGGCTTCGGGCTCGATGCGGTCATGCAACTTGAATTCGATCTCGTCGCAGTCGTCGTCTTCGGAAGGGAACCATGCTCGGACACGTCCAGCTCCCAAATCGCACTCCTGACTGGCACGAGCACTTTTTTCCGTCCAGCACAAGTCTCACTTGACTCGATTGGGTCATGTCAACTCACATCCCTCCTCGTAGTACCTGGCCTGCACGGAGTCGGGCAACACCAGCCCTGCGATTCTCTCGGCCGTCGCTAGCTGATAGTCCCGTCTTACCGTGAAATCAGTGAGGCCCTCGCCCTTCTTGATGGCAAAGTCAAGCTTGGCTTCGTTCTGGGCCTCCCTCTCGCTGCCCCCTGGGCGCTGCCCCACTTAGAAGCTCCAAGTGCTCGATCAGCTGAGAGAGGCCCTCGGGGGAATCCAGCGAGCTCCTGATCGCCTGGAACTTAGACTGCAATTGTACTGGGCACGTTTCGAACACTCACCCTGCTTGCACCTCGGGTTTGTATGCCGCTCTTGCCATCCAGGAGCTGAGGTTGGAAGCGGAAGTCCTCAAATGTTCCATTCCGAGCCACGGCGGCGGTGCTGAAGACTCTTCGTTTGGAAGAACGATCTTTCTCTGGACGGGACTCGCTCCATGACCGCGCTCTCCAACTCCAGTCTGGTCGCCAGTCCCAGCCTGAAGTCCGCCAGTCTGGAGTCGCCCAAGAGGTCGTGCTGGCTGCGGCTCCGTCCTGAAGCATGTCAGCAGCTGGTGCCGACGCCGTCTTGGGCAGGAGTGGAGGGCTGTTCCCACGGATCTGTGCCTCCGCACTGGTCGACGGCGGGGTCTCGTCGACCCCCATGGGCTGCTGGCTGCTTGTCGGACTGGGTGTCACCCGCGGCGCCCTGCGAGCCGTGCCCGTCGATGCCTTCCTGCTCCCCCTACGGGCTCGTCCACGCTCCGCTACCACTGTCGGCTGGCATGGGGGAATGACAGATAACGCAGACGATCGAGGGAGAGGAGGCTAAGCAGAACAACAGGGCGCCGGTGCCCGAGGGAGGGGGAAGGGCTAGCGCCTGCATGGCAGGCTCACGCGGTCTTTCCAACAGACACCCTGGCAAGGAAGCGCGGCCCCAGAAAGAGGAAGAGATGGAGGGGAGGAAAACGGAGACCGTGACCAAGACTGGACGCGGAAACGTCGTGCCGATCTTGGTCACCGTCGAACTTGATCCGCGCCACCTTGTGGATCATCCTCGCGATTCGGCGACGGCCGACAGAGACCACGACCAAGATTGATTGGCGCGGACAAGACGCCGCGACATATTTGTCAGGGTCTTCTTCCCTCCAGCAGAGGACCGATGATCTGGGCATCCCGAGGGCATCGTGGACTCCCTCCTGCGGCGAACTCGGGGATGGACAGAACCCCCTTTAGCAAAACGTGGTTTAGTGAAAACGACCTCGGGCCCAAACCTGGCGGGCGCAAGGCTGGAAAATGACGGCCGCGGTGCCCTCTCGAGAACTGAAAACGGACAATTCACTAATCGACGTGTCAGGGTGGGGGTTCTGTCCATCCCCGACGAACATTGGGCGGCCCTCGTTACACTCTCGGGCGAAGATCGTTGGCGTCCTCGGCCCCTCCTCGCCCCGTCAGAAGGACGCCTCTGGCCGCCAACAGAAGGACCTCTGGCCGCCAACAGTCAGAGATGCGGAACGTAGGGGGGGAGGAAAAGGTAGGGAGAGAAGAAAGGTAGAGAGTGAGAGAGGATACTCCAGGTTTCGTAAGAAAGGGAGGGGGGTCTCATTTCGGGGGGGGTCTCTTCCAGGCTATCTTGGAGGGCCTGGGGGGGGTCTGGGGACGGTGTTTTGGAGGGTTCTCCCACGGGGGGGCGTCTGAAATGGCTCGTCTTGGAGGGTCCAGACCCCCTCCCTTTTATTACGAAATCTGAAGTACTGGACGAGGTGGCGTCGCAGCCCTGTAGCTGCGGTCCGACCGCGCCCAACACACACCACGAGAGGAGAGGTGGACAGGCAGCCGTCGCGACTCCAGGGCTGCAGTCCCCGCAGCGCCCCAGCACGCTGCGCGAGGGGCGAGCACGCAGGATGCCATCGCAGCCCATCGCTGCGTGGCCCCATCCTCGCCATCGCTCGGACGTCCATTCCCTGTGTTTTTGTTCGGTTTCGTGCGTGGTTTTTTCGCCAAATGATCAAGGATGCTCCTCGATGCACACATCCGAGCGATGCCAGGCATCCGGTCGAGAGAAGCTGGAAGCGGGGAGTGACAGTGGGAGCCAGGAGACCCGATGCGGGAGAGCGGCTGTGAGGAGGCTGAGCGGGCTGCCCTCGGGGAACTCCCTGGCTGGCTGCGGCCCCGCCCGCCCAAGCACCCTGCGAGAAGCCGACGGCGCGGGGTTCCGTCCGAATTCTTGGGCGAGGCCCCACGCAACCCAAAGAAACTTCACATCATAATCCTGTTGCTGTGATACCAACTCTCTCGGCAGCAGGCACAGCGAGAAGATGCGGATCTGTGCAATCATGTGTGGATGCCGTTATCCTTCCCCTCGGTCACCCTTGCCATTTTGTGTTCACAGTGGGCCTCACTGCCGCCCTACCCACCCACCCAGGAAGCGCGGTAAAACCTCCGATCCGTCGAAAGGCCTCGCTCTACTTGGGGGCAAGAGTGTGGCAGCTTCGGCTGCAACCGCGCGGGACGCTGCACACCAAAGCACGGCATGATTCTAGGTCTTTCGCTCCTCGTCACCTCCCTGTTCGTCTCTTCCCTCCTTTGCTTGCTTCTATGACGCCTACTTGCTGAACGGACAACTCGAGCCGCCCGAGGGCGCAATTACCCCGACATGCGCGGCGCGGCCTGTGGCAGCGGCGGCCGCTTACAGGTGGAGTGGAGCTGCGTGGTGGTGGTGGTGGGTGGTCGCCCCTGCAGGAAGGGAATCGGTGTTGAGCGCGCGGCGTGGTGCTGCGCGTGGACGAGGACCCGACTCCGGGTGAGCGCAGCGACCCCTCCCGCGCCAGAGCCCTGGGGCTGCTCCGGCTCTGCCAGGGCGCTGCAGCTCTGGGCCTCGCGGCGCCAGGCATCGCCTCCGCCGGGCCAGCCGCAACAGCGCTCCTCCGATGGCGCCTCCCGGGCCGCGGCCGCGTCGGAACTGCTCTGGGCGGGGATGAGCGGGGGCTTCGAGAATCTGGTGTCCAACGTCCTCGCATCCTTGAGCACGACCGCCTCCCGGTTCGGCTTCGTGGAGATCGCGCGCTGTGCTGCCAGCAGTTCTTTGCGTGGTCCCGGTTTCGCAGCAGAGGCCGCCTCGTTGCCCATCTCTGCAGTCCCTGCAGACGGAGCCTCACTCAATGCTCAATGGCGACAAATGGCTTCAGCCCAAGAGGCTTGAGCCAGAGGCTAGGGAGCAGCCTAAGCAAGCATGCCGGGCGTGATTACTCTCATGCTGAAGAGAGCAACGCGGCCAGGACGGGCTTACAGTTTTCGTGGAGCGGCCTATTGACCAACTCAATGTCAGCGCCCCTCACCGCATGCGAGCACGCGTGCGGCAAGAAAAACTCACGCCCACAGAGAAGCTGTAAAATACGGATGTTGGAAATTAAAGGAAAGTGGAAGTGGCTAGGGATTTGAAACCTGGCAGGGGCTGAAGCGAGCCCGAAACAATTGGGATAAGGTCGCCAGGGCTGAACAGCGTCAGCATGAAACTTGCCGAAGGCTAGACAGAGTGGAAAGGCTGGCCCAGGCTACATGCTTCAACTTCCCTGATGCCTTATCGCTCAAACCTTGGCAAGGCGAAAAGTCCGATGCTAGGGAAACGAACAATTACATAGACATAAAAACTCTGAGGTCCGCGCGGATTTCTCGGATCGGCGCTGGACCCCCCTCCCTGGCGCGCGGCGCCCGAGGCGCCGCCAGAGGGGTCCAGCGCGGATCCGAGAAATCCGGGCGGACCTCCGAGATGTTAGGTTTATGTCATTTTTCGCTCCCCGGGATACGTTCCAGGGCATTCCAGCCGGCCTTCGCTGACCAGCCCGCTTGCCGTCGCCACCCTCTCGACGGCGGCCCTCGCCTGCTCTTGGCTGGCGCCTCCGCTCGCCTCCATTCCCTCGAGCCTGGCCAAGTGCGAGAGCAGGGCGCTCTTCCACGCGGCGCCGTCGGCCAGCGCGCCGAGATCGAACGTGATCTCGCCCAGAGTGTTGTGGCCGTCCACGGGGTGCAGCGCGGCCGCTGCGAACTGAGCGTCCAGGAGCGCGGGGTCGACGATAGCCGGCCGCATGGGGTCAACCGCAGGTGGCTGCGGCGGCTCACCGAGGAGCTCCGTCATGACGTCGTTCGCGAGGACCGGCACCGAAAACATCTGCCAAACCGTGCCGACGAAGAAGCCACCCGGCTTGAGCACGCGGTGCACCTCTCGCAGCGCCGCCGACAAGTCGGCGGTGGACATCAAGGCGAAATTGGCAGTCACGACGTCTTGCGAAGCGGAGGGAATCGCGCTCTGATCTGTGATGTCGAGGACCATCGTAGAGACGTTGGCCAAGCCCTTGGCCTGCGCGCGCTCCCTGGCCATGTCCACCATCGCCTCAGCCACGTCGCTGCAGATGACCTGCGCGCGCGGCAGAGCCGCGGCCAACGTGCACCCGGGCTCCCCAGGGCCTGAGCCTAGGTCGAGGATGCGTCCCGCGACAGGAGACAACTTCTGCACGGCGCCCACCGTGTCGTCGATGGCAGCGCTCATGCCTCGGTCGAATGGCAGATATAGGTCGGCGATGTTGCTGCCGAAAGCAGTGGCGCTGAACGTGGACATGGTGCCGGCCCTCGCACGACCTTGCAGTCCCAGCGCGGCCCGGGGGCTCGCCCGCAGCTTGGCATGGCCACCCGCCTGCTTGCAGATAAGCTCGGGGAACAGAAGCCGAAACGTCAACGCCTCTCGTGCATGGCATGCGCTGACAATGTTACACAGAGGCGCGCAAACCCGTACACCGACACACACATACACATACACATACACAAACAACAGCACATACACATACACATACACAGACACAGACACAGACACAAAAACACACATACACACACACACACTACATGGGAAACCAACGCATCTTGCGCACGCTGTGAGCTTGACATGGGCTCTTATGTTAATGGGCATTCCAATTCGCACGTTCTTGTGGCGAGTGTCCCATGTGAATGGCCTATGCCTGCTCGCACACAACTCAAGCACCTGCCGGGGCTCCAAATCCAAAGGCAACGCTAGTTCAAGCCGTTCCCTTGTTCGAACGATGCACTCCGAAATTGTCCCCCATGCCCCCAAGATGGCTCCGAAACAAGAGAGCCCCAAACGGCTTCCAAAATTGCTCCCGTACCGCCCCAATATGGTCCCAAGGAGCCTACGAGAGGTTGTCGGATCGAACGGTCCGCGACTGCCTTCCATGCACTCCTCAAGCGATGCTTGCACTCAAGGCTTCCTTGTTTTTACCCCAAACAATGCTCGCACGTAAAGGTTCTGACTTCTCCTGCTTCAAGACTTAGGTCGGGCCTGTCCCCCTACAGGGGGGTTTTGGACGGATCATTAGAGACCCCAAACATACTCAAAATATCCCCAAACATACTCAAAAAGTAGTCCCAAGACTATTTGTTTGACTATTTTTAAGTATCCCCCCTGCTCCCCTGAGGGGCAACGATAGGAGGGGGGATAGGCAAAGGGGGGGATGCATCGACCTGGAATCGGCGATACCTCGCCGATGGATCGGCGATGTGCCTCCGATAGCGAATCCGAACCTTCCTGGGCAGGTTGGGGCTATCGGGCCCCCATCGGCGATCAATGGGCGATTGGGGGTCGATGCATCCCCCCCTCTATCGTTATGTCGGGCGTGTCCACCTACAGGGGGATTTTCGACGACAAATTTTTGAAAAAAATGCATCGAAAATGTCCCAAAAAGGTTAAAACATATTCAAAAAATAGTTCCCAGACTATTGTTGGACTATTTTGGAATATACCCCCTGTAGAGGGACCGGCCCGACTTCACCCTATCGTTGCCCCTGACTGACTTCTCCTGCTTCGAGACCTGGACGGGTCTCCCCGATCTTCGGCGGCTGCCTGGCTTTGGTGGGCGCCTCGCGGGCGCCCCTCCGCGGGAGCCCCGCGCTCGGGGAGAGCTTCTTCCCCGGGCCTTCGCCGGGCGCCCGCCTCGTGGGCGCCCCGTGGGCGCGCCTGGGCTTAAGTCGGGCCTGTCCCCCCACAGGGGGATGTTGGGCGAACAAAAAAAGTATCTCAGTGCGACCCTACCCAGGAGTTGGAGGATCTAGGAAAGCAACATCTAACACTTATACGAAGCTAAGTTAAGCTAAGATGGAGCTAAGGTAAGATGAAATAAGCTAAGCTAAGATGAGATAAGCAACGCGAAGCTAAGGGAACGTCACTGAGGGAACCGCGGGGCGGATGCCGGGGGAACCGCCCGGGGCGAGCCCCACTGCCCGGCCCTTTAAGCCTCAGAGTAAGGAGCCTTCTAGGCAGAGCCTAGGTCGGGAAAAACAAAAATGCTTCCAAAATAATAAAAAATGGTAAAACAATCGTCCCCAGACAATTGTTGGACTCTTTTTGCATATTCCTCCTGTAGAGGGACAGGCCCGACTCGAGCCTGAGCGGGTTTCCCGGGGGCTTCGCCCGCTGCCCGCTCGTGGACGCCTCCTGGGCGCCCCGCGCCGGGGGAGTCTCTTGCCGTCGCTCGGACGTCCCTTTCCCGAGCATGTTTCGGTTTCGTGCGTTTTTTTTCTTGCTCGATGGCCCAGGATGGTTGAGAAACAATGTTTTGCGTCGATCAGCGTCGATTTAGCGTCGATGAGCGTCGACTAGTGTCGACTAGCGTCCACTCGCATGAGCCGACAAGGTGGTATGGGAGGCTCCCATGAGCTGCCACTCGTGTCTCGATCGTGCTCTTTTGTTGCCCTTTTCGGATGGTCGGTTTCGCGCGCGTCTTTTTTTTTTGGTTATGTTTTCTCTGTTTTTTTATTCTTTTATTTTTTTTGTTTTTGCTCGATGGCCAGGATGGTCCTCAAGGGCCCTCGCCGAGGAAAACAAAAAAAAGACGCGCGCCCGAGCGGTGCCGAGGCTCGCGGGCGGCGCCTCCCGGGCGCCCCCCCCCCCCCGCGCCGGGGGCGTGGACCGCCGCGGTCCTGCCCGGTGCCCGCGCGGGGGGGCGCCTCGAGGTCTCGCCCCGCGCCCGTGGGCGGGCGGCCTCGCTCGCAGCATCGGAGGAGGCAGCTGCTGGGAGGCATCCTCCCTGGCAGGAGCTACAGTCGGGGCGTTGACCTAAGGAGCCCTAAATAAGGAACGGGGCCCCGTTTTTTCCATGAGTTGACCTCCGATTTCCGGTCGAGCACATAAGGAAAGCCTGAGGCAAGCTGCGAAACACTTCAGGAACGCGGAGCCCCTCCCCAACGAAAAGGGTTCCTTCTTCAGGGCCCCGACTGTAGGAGGAGAGGCAGCTACTGGGAGGCATCCTCTCTGGCAGGAGCTGGGACCAAGAGCAGCTCCTGTTCATTGTCAACAGGACTCGCAGTATACTGGCGAGTCCTGTTCGCTGATATGCCTGAAATCATTGCTAGGGAATTCTGGGCTGTCCTGGCCAGTGCCCGCCGGCGGGCGCCCCGCGCTCGGGGGGGGGGCTATGCCGAGCTCTCGCCCGGCGCCCGCCCGTGGGCGCCTCGTGGGCGCCCCGCGCTCGGGGGGGTACGCCGAGAACGGGCACAAAGACCAAGAGCAGTTCCTGTTCGCTGTGAGCAGGACTCGCAATATACAAGCGAGTCCTCTTCACGACGAACAGGAACGGCTCTTGGTCTGTGTGCCCAGTCTGTCCATACCGTAGGAAACAAGTGCTGGGAGGTTGTCGCCGGAGGGACTAAGGAGGACTAAACCCCATTTGGGAGCTGTTACGCCAGAGTGGGCCTCGGACTAAGCAGGATGAAACCGGATTAAGCGGAATTAAACAGGATAAAGCCGGATTAAGCGGGATACCATCAGATCAAGCTGGATTAAGCCGGACTTCGGACAAGGGCAAAATCAGAATTTGACCTCCCAGGAGTTGCATCCGAAAGTATATTGTGTAGCTCACTGCGCACGGCTTGCACCACGCAGCTCGCACAGCACAGCTCGCGCCACAGAAGTCACGTCGCAGACAGTCGGACTTGATTGGAGAGGACACGCGAGAGGACACAAGACCCTTCCGAAGGACACACGAGAGGACAGGCGAGAGGACGCCATAGGAGTGTAAGAAGGCACGCGTCGCGAGGCACAGGACACAAGGGTACCCTTGAGCTGGCAGGGTCGACCTACTAATCCGGGCCGCCTGTACCACGTAGCTCACAGCACATGGCTTCCAGAGCATAGCTTGCACAGCATAGCCCACGCCACGCAGCTCACACAACAAAGACAACACCACATCACTTAGTCTGCCTCTCGTTCACCTCAAGACTGCCATGACTATCTGCTTCTGCTCCACGCCGGCTACTCTTGGTTTCTTAAAAAGCGTGGGGGGCTACCCCCCCGACGAGGGTCAACCTCGCATCGCCGTCGCGACGGGGGTCGGAGCGCCTTCGGCGCGCGCTGGCTGCCCGCGACGGGGGTCGACGCGGGGCTGTCGGCGGGGCTGACGCCCCCCCCCGACGCTTAGCAAGAAACTCGGAGTAACCTATGCTGAAGGGGCCCTGGGACACACACAAATAACTACACACACAGATAACAGCATGCCCCATATTTTCCCATACGTTCTGGGATTTTTGTCTTCCCCACCACTTCCCATATTTTCGCATAGTTTTTCTGGGGCGTCGACGATTCATTGTGTCTGTGTGTGTGTCTTTTCCTCCTGCTATGCCTGAACTCATTGATTGGGACTCCTGGGCTGTTCTGGCCAGTGCCCGCGGGCGGGCGCCCCGCGCTCGGGGGGGGCGCTATGCCCAGGTCTCGCCCGGCGCCCGCCCGTGGGCGCCTCGCGGGCGCCCCGCGCTCGGGGGGGGCGCGCCGAGGTGTCGCCCGGCGCCCGCCCGTGGACACCCCGCGGGCGCCCCGCGCCCGGGGGGGGCGCGCCGACGTGTCGCCCGGCGCCCGCCCGTGAGCGCCTCGTGGGCGCCCCGCGCCCAGGGGGGGGGCGCGCCGACGTGTCGCCCGGCGCCCGCCCGTGAGCGCCTCGTGGGCGCCCCGTGCGCGGGGCGCCGGATGCCCGCCCGTGGGCGCCTCGTGGGCGTCTCGACAACTTGGACCGCGCAGATTGCACCACGCAGATGGCGCAACATACCGTGCGGACCAGATAGCTTGCACCACATGGCCCGCACGACACAGCTTACACCACCTGGCTTGCACCACGCAGTCTCCACCACGTAGTTTGCCCAGCGTGGGTTGCAACGCATAGCTTGCACAACATAGCTTGCACTATAAAATGTGCACAACCGATCTTGCACAAGACAGCTTGCGCCACAGAGTATACACCACATGATTGCACCACATACCTTGCAGACCCAGTGTACTGTTCGCGGCTCGCGCTGACTATTATAGATGTGTATATATGTATATATATATATATATATATATATATATATACATATGGCTTCACGTATCTGTGTGTATACGTATGCATGAATTTATCTTCATTCATGTGACGACTGGGTCTCCTCAGGCTGATTCCAAGATTCATTTGACGGCTGCCCCCCCTCTTCATTATGTTGCATGCTTCTGAATTTCCTGATCAAAGGAACTCGCCTGGGGATCGTTTTTGAATGGGCTGGTGGGGATACCCGAAGCGTCAAGCCTTG